CCTCTTACCTCTCACCTCTCACCTCTCACCTGTCACCCCTCACCACTCCCTCTACTACTGCACAGATGAACTCTGCCCATTCACCAACCCCTCCACCTCACTCACTCTCACCTCTCACCGTCTCCCTCTACTACTGCACAGATGTACTCTGCCCATTCACCAACCCCTCCACCTCACTCACTCTCACCTTTCACCGTCTCCCTCTACTACTGCACAGATGAACTCTGCCCATTCACCAACCCCTCCACCTCACTCACTCTCACCTCTTACCTCTCCTCTCTACTACTACACAGATGTACTCTGCCCATTCACCAACTCCTCCACCTCACTCACACCTCTCACCTCACATCTCTCACCTCTCACCTCTCACCATCTCCCTCTACTACTACACAGATGTACTCGGCCCCGCCCAAACCTCCCCGTATGGTGGGCGACAAACGTCTGCTGGTCAAGGTCATCAAGGCCAACGGTCTGGCAGTCAAGGAGCTCGGTAAGTGGCCCGGTCATCCTGTCAAAAATGAAAAAAAAAAAAGATTGTGTGTTTAGTATTCTTTCTATGTAGGCTATATTTGTGTGTTTAATTATTATGTTGTAAAGACTTGACCGAATGTCAAGTTGTGAACTATCACCATCTAGTGCCAGATCTGTGACAGACATCGGCGATCATGGTTCTCCATTCATTCCTTAGCTCGGATGCTCTCAAAAAAGCTATGTTTCCCTGATCTTTCCCTGTTATCCATTTGTTTAGGTTCCCTAAGTATGTTGTTCTGGGCCTACCCCTGCCTCGCTTGCCCTCAATTTAGCCCGTGAGAGCTAGTTGGGAACTAAGTAAGTACAGATAAATTAACATCTGTTTACAAGCGACTTATACCCCTGTGTGTATGAGCAATAAAACAATATTAGTTTTACTGGACTACACTGCACGCGCTGGTGTCATGTAACTAAGTGGCTACTATGTATATATGTTTACCATTTTGATCAACATTTCCTAATGGAGATCTGTAAAGTGTAATTTGTCTCTGTATTTATGTATTTATGTATGTATATATGTGAGGCAGCGTGGTGGAATCAGGCTCTCGTCAAAATAATCAAAGTGAAGAAACTTGTATTTTTCTGCCGGTTTGTGAAATTTTATCAAATTTTTGTTTTTTGGCTCAATGCCTTTCATCCCCATTAAAGAACTCTTTTTCAGTGTGGATTTTTCTGAAAAACGTTGATTAAAGGCACAAAAAAAAAGGCACCTACATTAAAGGTAATAAAAGAGTACATTCGGATTTTTCTTCTCTCCAACCAGGAGCGGCCAACGCGGTGTGCATGTTGTCCACTGATGAGCCTGTCCAGGGCTACGCCACCAGCGTGGTCAAGAACACCCAGCATCCCTTCTGGGACGAGCACTTCCTCTTGTGAGTTACCTGCCCCTTGTCACGTCTTGGTTTTGTTTTTTTTGTACAATGTGACTCCAGCTCTCTCTTTTTGCTGTTCTTTAAGCTTTTTAGGGTTTTAAAATGTTGTTTTTGTTCAGAGACGTTTAAGACAAATTTATGGAACATATTGCGACCTGAGTGCTTTCTTGTCGTATCTCCATTTTTTTTGTGAGAACAGTTCGAAACAAAGAGTGAGCTTAAGAAGAAGCCACATTTTCACTGCTTAAAAAAATGGAGACACAACAAGAAAGCACAGAGGTAGCGAAACTCTTACAATTACTGAGATACGCTCGTATTTAAGACAGACTTACGGGTCCTATTTTATTTTTTGAGAAATTTAACATAAGTTTATGGGATCTTGTTTTTTTAAGGTTCAGTATGTGATGTATACAACACATTTATGAATCCTATTGTGTGTCTATTTCTTTATTCTTATGTCAATTTATGTTCAGAATTTTTGTTAGAATGTATTTTTCTGTGAGAGTTTTGTTTTGTTTTTAGAATGTATTTTTCTGTGACAATTTTGTTTTGTTTTGTTTGTGTCCAGTGACGTCACACAGGACACCCAGGAGGTGAGAGTGGAGGTCTATGACAAGGATAAGCCACAGGGAGGTAAGTAGCGGGTGGTTGGAGGGTGTTGCTGGTGGTGGGTCATGGGTGGTTGGAGGGTGTTGCTGGTGGGTCGT